GCTGTAGGAGAAACATGGGGAGGCTGCTGTACCCATCCATACTGCCGGAATTTGGTCTTACAGTCACCCGACGTCAAGTAGCCAAATGCCTTGTGCTGGAATTTCTGTGAATGCTCAGGAACTCAGAGGTACAGCCAGCGCAGCTCCTATGTCTCAGGTTATCAGTGTTAACTTGGTTTTTTTTGGACACCTGTGCTCTTCAGAGATCTCAGGTTTGGCCCAAGCCACTTTTTTTCTCTGGATTAGGTGTGTATCGGGTGGCACTGCATGAACTGAGCTTTGGATTAGATGAGATCGGTATTGTCCCAAAAAGTGGGATATTCACCCGGTATGGAAGTTTGCCTTGTGATTGTCATCGTGGACAATCACCGCCCTCCTCTTATCCCCCAGAACCATAAGCCTCAAATTTGGCCTGAGACACATTTTGGTTTTGTAAAATTAGTTAACTTAAGATACGTTATTGTTAGAAGAAGACACTGTTAATAATTGTTCATAGTTGCCATGTGATATGTGATTCATTCTATACTTCCTTCTATACTTACCATTTCTATACTGTGCTCTATATTTATCTTCTTTACCTGTCTCTATATTACCACTGTGTTAGAAGACTATGAGGATTTAAGGAACGAGACGGTACCAGTTAATGTTTAAGTCACAGGGTGGTGTGGCAGACAGATGAACAACAGCTAACGGTGCATGTGTTGGCTCTTTTATTTGAGGAGAGGAGTCATTGGTGGCAGGTCTTTTCCGCTGCCCAGTGCACTGCCCTGCAAAGTCCATCTGATTTTCAGAAACATCAGTGATACCAAAGGGTTAAATAATTCAGCTAAATTAACAGAAAAGCAGGCACATTCTTTAGCCTGGCATCTCAAGGTTGGGAAGCATCAAGAAGAAGAACAAATGATAGAAGAAGGGACATTGTTATCTAAATCAGTAGGTAAGAATGTGGAGAGAGGCCTTCAAGAGAGGGAGTTCTAGACATGAAGGGAGCCAAGCTGATAAAACGTTACAACCCACAGACATCAACAATAAAGTAGCTGAGAGCAGGACAGAAGTTAACTGTGGTAATGGGAGATCGCGACCTTCAACTCAAATGCCCCCCCCAAAAGAGGGCAAAACCCTGCTTGGGGAGCATGCATAGTTAATATGGAGGCTTCATTAGTGCTTGCTGAGGATGTGTACTAATTTACCTTAGAAGCGAGAAACTTATAACCAATCCTAAGTGTGAATAACAATGAATATCTAATGTACTATGAATATGCAAATGTCTTATGGTATATAATATGTATCTTCATTTTACTCGGTGTGCAAGTTTGGAGGAGCGATCCCCCTTGCACCTGGCACCGAAATAAACATGCCTGCTTTATAACTCACTGCAAGTTGTAGAGTTTGTTTCCGCACGTCATCAGTCTTTTGATCTACACAGTGAGTCTCTTCTGAGATTCCCTGAGAACCGACAAAAACCATGGTTTGGCAATTCCCCTTTACATCCAAGCTCTGGTGGCCAGTGGACTTGCAGACAGCTTTCAGTAGCCTGGAGGGGTCTGAAGTAGAAGTTGGGTGAGCTCTCCTTCTCCATGCCTTCCAGCAGCTTGTGATTCTGGAAATCGAAAATCCACTTCCTCTGGCATGCCTCTTCCATCTCCTGGCAGTGCTTCTTCAAGTCCCTGTTTAACTCTGCATGGTCCACCAGCCTGAAGATGTTCCTGCAAGCTGACGGTTTCAGGTACTCCGACTGCCTGGCTTCCATGCGCTCCAGGGAAGGGCTCCCATTAGAAATATGGACATTTGACATCTCCCCCCACCCTCCTTCTTCTGGCGGCAGTTGTTTTGCTTGATGCTTTCCCCTTCTCCTTCTTTTTATGACTAGATCCAAGTAAAACATGTGGCACGGAACTTGTTTATCCAGTTACATTATCCAGTTCAGTAGTTGTCATTGACTTATTGTATCTAACCACACCTTGTATTTTGTATTAATAAATCACAAAACTGGTTGGCTGGTGTTGTTCCAGCTTAATTCAGTCCAAGGGATTTATGAACTTGGTCGTTGGTCCCAAGGGGAGGTGGTCATCCTAAAGAGCTCCATTTCAGGTCACGACATGATTGCATCCACAACTGAGCTTGGATACAGCTAAAAGCCAAAGAGATATTACTTTGGGCTGCAACAACTGCTTTCTACAATCAGTTGGTGGCGTTTTTTTATTAACTCTCTCCCACTGGGGTAACATATCAGATAAGAGTCATTGGTGAGTTCTTAATGCTGTTAGGGAGGATAACCATGCTAGCCGTCCTGCTTAAGATGTACCTAGGAACAATGGGCAGGTTGGCTTAAGTGCAGAAATATTTAATTGCATTATCAATTTCATTCATTTAAGAGACTATAATGGATGAAATAATCCTGTATTTCTGATCACATACAGTCCAATTTAAAAAAATTTTGTTGGTTTTAATCTAGTGTTGTACACAGAAATGTGAGATGCCTTCTCATGGGTAGACTCATTGATCATCTCACATCCCATTTTATTTTTTTTTTTTCTTGCCATTCCCCAAAGTTGGAGAACTTTATTATCAGCTTCATCTATACCCCAGCTCCACTCATTTTTTTAAGTACACTTCACCTCTGTGCATGACTACAGTGGAAAAATTTAAATCTCCCTTACTAGAGTGTATCCCCATACTCCCAGTGTACTTAACAAGAGCAACCATGACCATCTTAAACTTTCCTGGCTGTAAACTAAGAAAAACATAATTGCTAAGAGTAACAGTCACAACATAATTTTTAGATTCGTGGTTTGTCATTTTGCAATTTGAGCATCTCTGTTATTGGTATAGTTAAACCATAACTGAGTTACACTTGGAGTTTTTCCACTCCTTTTCGTTATACTTGCAAGAATTAGTACTTCTATATAATGACAAAAAACCCCAGAAATAGCTCTTTACAATGCCCTAGAAAGAAATACCAAATAAGCTTGTATAACTCTATTTCCTATTATATGCATTTGGTCATCTTTTGCCATAACAGAATTAACTGGGTATGGTTTCCCATAAAGGATGTCAAAAGGGCTCACTCTTTCTTTACTTCTAGGAGTGATTCTGATTCTCATTAATGCTGTTGGCACAATTTAGCAATTTGTCGTTTGAGAGTTTGATTCATTCTTTCTGCTTTCCCACTTGAGAGGGGTCTCCAGGGTGCATGCAGTTCCCATCTAATCTGAAGGAACTTGGATATTCCCTGTACTATGTCAGCAATAAAATGTGGTCTGTTGTCTGATGATAGTGCTTCTGGTATTCCAAATTGGGGAACTATTTCTTTTAACAGTACGTTAACTACCTCCCTTGCCTGATTGGTGTGACATGGGAAAGCTTCTGGCCAGCCTGAAAAAGCATCAACCAAAACAAGGAGGTATTTATACCTATTATAATTAGGCAATTTGGAAAAATCTACCTGCCAATCTTCTCCAGGATTTACTCCCCTTTTTAGGTTACCAAGTGGTGGCTTTTGCTGGATTTTTGGATTATTTTTACAACAGAGGGGACTTTTTCTCATAATTATACTTTACCAAATAATGTAGGAGCACCGTCCAGCACAATTGTGATTTTTCTCCCTGTCGTTGGATTCTCTCACCTGAAGGCACACAGCGTCCGACTCTGTTTGCCTATTGGGATACAAAAGAAAGCATCCTTTAAATCTAATACAGTAAAATATATATTAGTCTCTGGGATCTTACTGGCAAAATTGGAGTATTATATTCAGATTGACATTCCTGCAAAAGTCTGGATTCTAGGAAGGTGGTAATCAGGGGTTCTAACCCCTTCCCAGCCTCCCACTTCATTGGATATTGTTTTTTTCTTACCGGCTGGGCTCCAGGCTTCAATTCTGTATTTATAGGACTCAGGTTTTTTGCTCTTCCTTGTGTCTTTGTAGCCCATACCAGTGGGATAACTGCATCCATAACCTCACTGGGTATGTTGTTACTGTTGTCACCATCCTCTTGTTTATTACAATGCTGTATGTCCGTCAGGAGGCATATTTGTGCTTTCCTTGCCGTCGCTGGTGGAATATGCATCTAACAGAATTCTCAGAGAATGTTAATTGTGCATGAAGTTTACAGAGTAAATCCCATCCTAGTAGTGGTAATGGGCACTTTGGCATATACAGGAACTCATGGGCTAATTTAGTATCACCAATGACACATTCCATTGATTGTTTTTTTAAAAAAGGCCTGGTCATCTGCTTTCCCTTTGCCCTAGCAATAGGAAGTGTCTCTTTACTTAAAGATCCCTTACAGCTAGTCAGGACAGGAGGAGTTGGTCCACTATCTAGTGAGAAATCAATAGTTTCATTCACCAGCTTCTTAACTGGAATCAGGCGATCAGCAGGGGAGACCTTAATGTTTTCCCCTGGTCCCCTTCATTTGTTATCTGAACTCTCCAGCATTATGAGGTGACTTACAAACAACACACTGAACATTTTCTGATTTGCCTCCTCTTCCCTATTTAAAACTTTCAAACTAAAACAGCCCAGCCTTCTCAACACTAAATACAGAACAATCTCCACGAATATTCCGCATTGCCGCTCCTTTCTTTTCAGGAATCAGCTTGCACAGACCTTCTCTTCACATACATCTTCCCCTTTCTCCATTCAGTTCTCAACACTGATCACATAAAATACCTCAGTGTACCAAGGCCACTTGATCCACACACACATTTGCTGCTTATTCCCCTATCCACCAGCAAAGCCTGTCACAGTCTTCCCCTGTGGTTGCTGGGGTGCTCCTCTGGCCCCTGTCTGCATTCCTCTACTTTAGTCCAATTTATTCTTATTTCCTCGCAAGCTCTAATCACACAGCCCCACACACACACATTCGCCGCAGGCTGCATTGCAAGATGGCGTTAGAAACCAGAGGGTAAAGCCCAGCAAAGGCAGCGGGGACAGCAGAGGCGATTGGGGAGGGGTCAGCAAGTGACACAGAAGAAGTGTAGGGTGAGTGCAGAGATCGGCTCTGCAGGTGCCTCAGTTAAATTACATTTTTGTAATCATACCATATGCTGTACCATAAATCTTTTCCTAATTTATCCTGATAAAATATCTTTTCATTTTAGCTCCCAATCCCACAAGTACAATCATATCATTTAACATTAATTGTAATATGGTATTGTATTTCAAAGACCCTCCTTCAGGCCACTTTTCCCCAACACCCAAAAAATCTTGTGACCACCACTGATTACAATATATTTTCATTTTCAAAGTCAAAGGATCTCCACCAAATTTATTCCAGTTTTTCAAAATACACCCGAGGGGGTTACAAGAAGTCACAGTAGAGGACACTGTGACCATTTTCTTGGGTTTTGTTCACCAAATTGTATTAGCCAATCACCATTAACATAGGCTATCGGTCCAGACCTTTAATAATCTACCACTACACGCTGCTCCAACCTTACCGGTTGATTAAGGCCCTCTGCCAAGTACTATGCATGACTTATGTGGAGATTAATCTCTCCGACCCCCCTGGTCGGTTGACCCCACCAGTTGATAATTTTACCTGAAATTTGATGCTCAAGGAAAAGAGCAACACCTTGTCTCAAGACTCTGAGCTTCCCCAGCCTTTTCCCCAGAAATTCCTCTGTTAGGTGTTGCGCCTTTGAGTTGCTCACCATCCCAATGCCAGAGGCGAACCAGAGGAGTCCCCAAACAACACGTCGGTGCACATTGGAGTCCTATCCGGTCTGATCCTCCACCACCAGGAACAGTAAGATGACCCAGGCAAGGCCTTAAGGTCATCCCATCTGGGTCACCAAAATGTTGTCCCGAAAAGTGGGATCTTCATCCAGCAGGCAAGCCAATTCACACAGGGTCGAGGTATTTCTTTCATTATGGGTTTGCGCAAAGCCGGGAGCCAGGTGATATCCCACAAAGCTGGCTCAACTCCACACAAAAACTACAGCATATTTATCCTGTGACATGATTAGCAAAAACCCACCCAAATTTACACTTATTGGTTAGTAATAACACCATCATTTGTTATTGGTTAGTTATATTTAAATTAGCCTTGCTTGCTATGTAAATTAGCACACATGCTCCTTACAGGGGGAGGGGAGGCAAGTCTTTTCAGTCTTGAATTGAGCTGGTGGTTGTGATGTCCCCCTGCACCTTTACCTTTCTCGCAGTTACTGCTGATTTCTGCTGACTTTACACTTCATGTGGCAACTTTCCAGCCTAATGGTGTTCTGGGGTAGGATGTTCCTCTTTATCAGTTGCACTTCAAGGATCTTAGTAGTTACCAAGCATGCAGATTTATGAGCTCATACAATAGCACTGTTGAGAGTCTAACTTTTGGCTTATCAGTTCCCCGCCTCATCACATTCTGCGTTCCTTAGGTCAAGCTGCTCTTTTTGCCTGAGAAATTGGTTTCTCTCCTCTGCCTATCCACCTATTTGTCTACATCATCTCAGGGTTTGGGTTGACAGCAAGTTGAATACCAGTCAACTGTGCCCTGGGGTGCATGGAGCACAGCATCGCTGGCCTTTGAGGAGGTGATTGTCCCACCCCACACTGCACTGGTGCAGCCCCACCTCGAGTCCTGTGTGCAGTTTTGGGCTCCTCAGTGTAAGAAGGACATCAAAATATTCAAGTGTGTCCAGAGGAGGGTGACCAAGATGGTGAAAGGCCTCAAGGGCAAGGCTTAAGAGGAGCAGATGAGGTCACTTGGCTTGTTCAGCCTGGAGAAGAGAGGGCTGAGGGGTGCCCTCATCGCAGCCTACAACGTCCTCATGGGGGGCAGCGGAGGGGAGGTG